ATATATATGTTTTATATAATATTAAAAATCTTGCGAAGAATATTGGAAATTAAACATTATAAAGTGAAAAAGGATTTCTCTCGACGTTTTCTCTATGAAAAGATTGACTTTAAGAATTTCTTTTATAGAATTTTTGTGAACATTTTCTATATTAAAGAAAAGCTTGATTATACTTGAAAAAATTTTTAATTATTTGTGATGTAAATTATTATTTTATTCAAGAGATTATTCAGGGCGATTTTAGATAACAACCTGCAAGATAGGTGCCGGCGGATTAACGGACAAATTCTCCGCGACAGAAGCTCTGTAACTGTGTTGTGAGAATATTGGTCTATTATCGTTCTCGTCAATTAACTTGACAACCACCGGCACGGTGGTGCTTCGTCGAGAATTTATATGGGCGCCGTCGCTGGCCATCACCGTTATAGTGATTTCCGGCGTCACTTCTCTATCGAGAACTGTAGCACCGCCTACAGTAATCTCTCCGGTTTCATGTCCTAAAAATCGCGTAAAGTGTGAATATTAAAGAATTAAACTTTATTATTATTTTATATTGATCAAAAATTCAATGAAGTAAAAGACTTTTATATTCAATATAAAAGAGAAGTAAAAGCTAATTTAATTTATTTAGCTTTATATTTAACCAGAGCTATGTAATCGATTATATTTGTTAATTTACCGATATTAAAGTCAGCAGCGTGTTCTCCAATTAGACTGTAACTGATATCACCAAAAGGTCCCTCATCACCATCCGTAGCTTTCACAATGGTAACGCGAGTGCCAGGCGGAGAATTCTCTTTCACTGACGCGTTATATAGCTCCTTCTCAAACTTTGGATCTTGATCGTTCACGTTAATCACAGTAACGGTAACTTTTGCAGTTGTGGAAAGTTGAGGTACTCCGGAATCATAAGCGACCACCGTGAATTCCAACTGCTTTGTCTCTTCATAATCGATCACTTGACTAGTTCTTACAATTCCTGTAAAAAAAGGCACATTTGAAGAAGATCGATTTTTGCTAGTAAAAAATATACATTTAGTATCTCGCATAAAATCGTTGCACTCGATTTATTATCAATCATTTTTACCTAATTTATTTATTCCTCAATGAAAAGAGTAATAATAATATATAATAATAATACGATGAAAAAACAAAGATATTTAAACATTCTCTATTCACAGAAATGATTTCGAGATTACTTTAATATGTCACTTACATATAGTAAACTGCTTGAGTAAGCAAATTGATTTTCGACAGTGACTTTCGGTACAGGCTTACGTGAAACTGACATGAGATTCACGACGGCAACTTACCAGTAATATTATCAATATTGAAGTAAGGGCTTGGCGGATCGATGGCGTATCCCGCTATGTTACTGTCAGCGTCTGTTGCCGTGAAAGCACCCACGACAGCACCAGTGGGTTGCTCCTCTTGCATTTCTATCAGATACCGTGGACTTTCTCGAGTCCACGGCTTTAGAAATTCTGGCGCCATGTGATTCACGTCGATAATAGTAACTACCAACTTACCTATTAAAAATTGTATAATGCATACCAAAAATAACGAAGAATATTTCATATCATTTTATGGAAAAATATATTATTTACCTCGTCCCTGCTGCAATGTAGGTGCCGTGGTATCGCTTACGACAATCGTAACGCTTACCGTTGCTGCTATATCACGATCCAAAGCTCGAACGACAGAAACCTGTCCGGTAGCGCGATCGACTGCGAAGAAGTCCTACAAAAATAAATATGATAAAGAGATAAAAATAAGCTAGCTGAAAATAAGGAAACACTTTAAAAATAATACAATTCACACACACACACACACACACACACACACACACCACACACACACACACGCACGCACGCGCACACACACAAAATCTATAAATCATATGTTTTATAAAATATACAATTGATCAAACATTAATTATTTACTATGTTTAGAATTTAGAAAATTGAATACATAAATTTTTTACGAAAAAATATATAGTGAATGTTTATTACAAGTACACAAAAATTCTTTTATCTTTATACATACATGTGAATAGAACGTGAATTTATATGGATCAAAAAGATTTTCTAAATGAGAGTTTCTCGTACCTTAAAAGATTTGCTGTCGTTGACGCGTTGACCATTTCTATCAATAGCGGTGATTGGCTCGGAAATAGCGAAGTTCAAAGCTTCGAGATTCGTGCTGTCCGGATCTGTGGCTTTCAATGTTGTGAAAACGGTGCCGATTGGCGTATCCTCTGTAACTTCAGCCAACTGCGTTTCGGGCGTAAAATACGGTGCCTTATCATTACTGTTCTCCACTTCGATCATCAGCGTCGTCGTTCCTGTCAGGCTCGGTGTTCCTAAAATAAAAATCGAGTAAGCGTAGAGTCAATTGCAATAATTTTAGCGATACGTTAAATTGCGTTTCGTAAAATAAAAAATTTAGCTTTCGTGCAGAGTGTGCATTAACACTAATACTATCATTATTTTAATTTTTTTCAATCAATCGTGATGACAAAATTACCTTTGTCGAATGCTATGACTTCTACATGATACGTGTTCTTCTCGTCGTAATCCAATTTTCGGGATACTGTGACGACGCCGGTGGTTTCGTTGATGGTGAAATCGTCGAAAGCTCCTTTCTGTATTCTGTAAACTAACTCCGCATTAACTCCGCTGTCGGCGTCCGTCGCGGTTACCTCTTCCACGACAGTTCCTGAAAAGACGAATACAGTCAACTACCACAGTCAACTTAATTGCTCAGATTAGTTCGGTAAATGATAATGAAATATCTCGCAGTGAGAACGTAAGTCCTCTTAGCGAACGGACATCATTCCAAGCAGATATCCCATATCCGGCGACCTTGATTACACCCTCGAGATTGCTCGTAATTGTGCAATCGGGGACACGCATGATTGTCGTTAAGCGTAATCCAGATACTTACCGATCGGCGATATCTCCGCGATGCTGGCCGTGTATATATCGTGCGGGAACATAGGCGCGTTGTTGTTAACGTCGCGGACGGTGATGTTGACGAGCGCGGAGTCGACGAATATGCCGTCGCTCGCCTGTATAGTTAGACCGATCCAATCGTGGGTGGCGTTGGTCATGTCAACCGGGCTCTTGATGGTGATCTCGCCAGTATCCGGATCGACAGCGAACAAGCCGAGTTCGTTACCACCCACCAGAGCATACGTGATCTTGGATGTCTTGTCCTTGTCGCGCGCCTGAACCTTCAGCTCGGGTTCGAATTTCTCTGCACCTTCATCCACTACCGCACGATACTTGTCCTGTAAAAAACGCGGCGGACTATCGTTCGCATCTACTAGACTGATGCGCAACGAAACGCTCGTTGTCTGTCCTTCTCCATTATCATCTGTCGCCTAAAAAAATATGTTTATTGAATCTTTGCAATTATAAAATCTCTACGTTTAGTTTTTACTCGTTTATAAAATCTTCTACGAAAATACGTTGAAAAATATATATTCCAGATTCTAGATGAATGAAACTTCCTGTTTTTAAAGAATAAATTTGACCAAATCATAAAATTCGAGCAATTCTATATTATTTCTGTTTTTCAAATATAATAATATTATCAGGCTTATTGTGATATTATAATATCGTGATTATGAGGATTACTTTGTAAGTGAGAAAGTACTCCGTCTGTTGCTCGTAATCCAGACAGGGCGAAGTGCCGGGCGTCGGGCAAGGTGCGACGGTGATGGTGCCGGTTTTCTTGTCGATCGCAAAGTGCTCTGCGCCCTGGCCAAGTAATTGGTAGACTATGCCAGCGGTACCGAAGCTGCGGAACAGAGAATTGCAACGTAAATGAAGGGTGAACGTGCTTTGATGTCTCACGGTACAAAGCGCGAGCTTAACGAGCCCTTACCGCCCGCTGTCGCGATCCTTCGCCGTAATCGTTATAATTGGGCTCCCTGGGGCCGCCGTCTCGGACACTGTAGCTGTGTACGTGGGGCTTCCGAAGGAAGGAGCATTGTCGTTTGCATCCGTGATAGAGATCGTTACCGTCGCCGTAGACGAGAGTTTCGGGTTCGTGTGGGCTTCCTCGGCAACGACCTGATAACGATAATCACCACGTCGCACGTTTATTTTCCGCGCAATTTTTGCGTATTATTATCGGCTTATATAATATATATTAATTGCCTCGGAAAGAGAAAGAGAAACGTCATTTGATATCTTTCTGATTATTATATTAAATAAATATGAAACAATTAATTAATTAATTATTAATCAAGTGAATTTTATTTTCACCGAATTACGTTACGTTTTATGTTTTATATTAATTCCTATTTATTTTACATCACTTCTACACAAGGAAAAGAGTTTAGTTGCATTAATTGAAATTCTGATTGAAAATGGACAAATCAAGAACATTCTGATTGAATCTATTATAATTCTAGTTGAAATAATTAGAATTCTGATATGATCAGAATCTTCTGGTTCGTTCATTTTCAACCAGAAATTTTTCTCAGTGTGAAGAAAGAATTATTTTTCTTTTTTGAAGTAGTTATTGATTTAATTTATTCTAAAATTAATTGAAAAAGGCGAGAGAAGTAAATAGCTCTAACTGACTTACCAGGATAATGAATTTCCGTTGATTAGGGTTTTCGTAATCAAGCGAGCCATTTGTAACGCGGATGTTTACGGATGTGCTACCAGTCGCCAAGACGGGCTCCACGGTGAACGCACCCGTTATATCCTCCAATCGCAAAGAGAATACGGAGTTTAAACCCTTAAAGTGAAAATGTCATGGGTTTAGTTCTCTTTACGAGATGTATGCTGGATAAAATCTCCCGCGATCGAAAGAGCAAGGTGAAACGCGTTACGCGCGGAACAATAGCTGCGTTCAACAGAAAAAACAGCTTTGCAAAATCTTTTAATATGATTGGTCTTTTCCTTACAAGAGAACGTTTCAAATTGTAAAGTGATACAAAAACTAACATTATTAGTCGAAAGACGTTTGAAATAGATTCAGTTCTTGAGATTTAGATCAAATCTTGAGCTTCTATGGATTCTGTACCCAACTTGAGCTGAAACATGTTTGGCCATTTTAACTTACAACTGAACCATATATAGTATTAAATTCTGATTTTAATGAAACTTCTTTAATGAAAAAAAAATATATATATAGAGATTATGTAAAAAGATGAATTTAGAAAATGTCCGTTGCGATAGAAAAACGATTTGAATGGATGAAATCACTTCTTATGTGGTAAAGCAATTTTAAGAGAGTTTTTTCCGTTTTATCTCGAAAACTATTCGAAAACTATATCAAAAAAATGTTTTATACGAAAGGTTCACAATAAAATTATTTCTATTCATTTACGTCAATAATATTTTATTATTGTGAATGAACGAGGTAATTTTATTGTAAAAATTTTATATAAAAATTTTTTGATATCTCGAAATTTTTAATTAAGTTAGAACGAATAAAACCCGTGTTGCCTATAAGGGGTGATTTTATTCTTTCAAACCGCTGCAACTAATATTTTTTTAATTCATCTTTTTATGTAACTGATATTTTCAAAGTTTTATTAAAATTAGAATTTAATATTTCGTGTAGTTCCCTTGTTAGTATCACAAAATATCTCGAGAACAATATATGTTTCAAAAAAAAGTTTTAAATAAAAGTTGTAAAATTTGAAGAGACTCTCAGAAGAGCTACTTAGATTTTGAGAACCCACTTTGAGTCCAATGAGAAAAAAATCACCTGACCTTATAAGTATAATTATATATAAGTATATTATATATAAGTATATTTATGATAAATTCATCTGATAGTCCTCTTCAAATTTCAATTTTTATTTGAAAACAATTTTTTTTAATTTTCTTGAAATATATAAATTAAAATGGTCAAACATGTTTCGGCCTAAGCCGAGTACAGAATCTAAGGTTTGACTCTAAAATACCTATTTCAAACATGATCTTTCGGAAATGTTTTTCAATATCATTTTTGCAATTTAGAATGTTCTCTTATTAGTTCTTCACTGAATCTAAATATACAAATCAATCGTATTAAAGAATTTTACAACAGTTGCTTTTTCTGCTAAACGCAACCAATGAAAATACGTTTAGCAGCATCCAACGATCAATACGACTGCGACAAAATAATAATTATATTTAATTGAAGCTTTATAACAGTATCATGAATTATTTATCCTTGCCGTTCCATTTTGTACTGCCATTAATGTGCGGACATTTAATAACCGAGTTGTATACGCCCGACGCGCCTTTCCGATTGTTCGCTATTGTTACGCGCGAGCATACGGGAGCTTTACAAAAAGCCGAATACATTAATGTAAATGTTATGTACAATAAAGGCGTTTATCGCGCGTGCCGGATTAACCTTTGATTTTTTTCGATGATGGCGGCATTCGCCAGATTATTGGCTGCGCTCGAATGCGGGATGCTGTGGGCTCCAGTTCC